ATCAGTATCCAGAGCTAGTATGCTCTTATTCATCGCAATAGCCTGCCTTGTAAGTTGAACTATCTCAGACTCAATCGATGAGGTATGAACTATACTGAACATTTTCAGGTGCTGCAACCTGTAACTGGGAGAGCTGGTGAGTGTTTTTCCAGTGATCTAGAAATTGCGTGTGTTTTCGAGTCGATAAAAACTAGATCATTGCAGTGAAACCCGGGGGAACTTCTGCTGACTTGAGGGCCAAAAGATCATTTGATGACTCCTTTGAAGAGACCACAGGGAGCCCAACTGAGGAGAATGACGAAGAACCATTGGAGGGAGTGTTTGTAGATGATGACCAAGATGAAGAGACCACGGATAGCCCAGACGAAAAAGATACAGAAGAATCTTCGACAGAGTCTCCCGAAGGCACTGCAGAAAAAGGCGTAGAAGATTCTTCTGAAGAGGCCACAGAGAATTCAACTGAGGAGTATGCAAATGATTCTTCAGAAGATTCATTAGAAGACGCAGCTGAAAAATCCGAAGAAGATTTATCTGAAGAGACATCAAAAAGCCGAAATGAGGAGGACGACGATGAACCATCAGAGGATTTTGAAGACTTTGACGAAAATGAAGAAACCGCAGAGAGTTCACGTGAAGAAGATGGTGACGATTTTTCAGAAAGTTCTTACGAGGACGATGCCGAAGAAGATGAAGATTCCCCCAAACAAACGACGGAGAGCTCAGCTGAGAAGGATGCCGATGAACCTTCAGAAGAATCTTCTGATGACACTACCGAAGAGCCCGAAGATGATTCTTCCGAAGAAGCCACAGAGAGCCCAACAGAGGACGATGCCGAGGAATCTTCTGAAGAATCGTCAGATGACGTGACCGAAAAACCCGAAGGAGATTTATCTGAAGAGAACCCAAAGAGCCGAAATGAGGAAGATGACGATGAACCATCAGAAGAATCTTTTGAAGATGCTGATGAAGATGAAGACTCCGCAGATAGCTCGTCTGAAGAGGATGCCGAAGACGCTGCTGAGGAGACCGATGAAGATTCCCCTGACGAAACGGCAGAGAAGCCAGCAGAGGAGGATGCCGAAGAAGACGTAGAGAAGCCCGAAGAAGATTCATCTGAAGAGACCGCTGAGAGCCGAAATGAGGAAGATGACGACGAACCATCGGAGGATTCGTTTGAAGATGCTGACGGAGATGAAGCACCCAAAGGAAAGCGCAAGTCAAAGGGAATGACCGCAAAGAACGCAAAAGGCAAACAAGGTTCAGATGTTTTGCAGTTATCTCTTTGCTAACTCTGGCTTTTGTGAAATCCTTTTCCAGACGCTCACTGTTCTTCTCAAAGCGAAATGACAGATAAAGTAAGGCAGGTGTTCCTTGACAAGCACAATGAATACCGGTAAATTTTACCACAAAATCGATTATGTTGAGCGTTATTGTGTGGTGAAGGTTTTCTCGATTGCAATCTTTCAGATCGCTCGTTGCCAAAGGAGAAGCTAA